AAGTCAGTACATATCAGTTGTAACCATCAGTGTTAATGGTTTCAGTTCACCAATCAAAATACACAGATTGGTGGAATGGATCAAGAAGCAAGATCCAACGATATATTGCATGCATGAAACACATTTAATTCAAAAAGAAATTCATAGACCGAAAGTCGAAGGGTGGAAAACAATACTCTATGCGACAGGAACCCATAAAAAAGCAGTAGTAGCTATTCTGTTTGCAGACAAAGTGAATTTCAAGCCAAAACTAAGAGAAATAAAGAAGGTCACTACATCCTTGTAAAGGGAATAATCCAAAAGAAAGAGATAACAATCACAAATACATATGCAACAAATACCAGTACATCCAACTATATAAAACAAACATTAACAGGCATGAAAAATCAAATAAGCACTAATACAATTGTATTGAGAGATCTCAATATTGCACTGTCACAAAAAGATCAATACCAGTACATCCAACTATATAAAACAAACATTAACAGGCATGAAAAATCAAATAAGCACTAATACAATTGTATTGAGAGATCTCAATATCTCACTGTCACAAAAAGATCAACTAGACAAAAAAATCAGCAATGAAATATTAGAACTGAACCAAACTTTTGAACAAATGGACTTAGTAGATGTCTATAGAGTGTTTAACCCCACAACATCAGAATATACATCCTCCTCAGCTGCACATGGAATGTTCTCCAAAATAGACCACGTACTAGCTCACAGAACATGCTTAAGCAAATGAAAAGGAACTGAAATTATCCCATGCATATTATCAGGCCATAGTGCAGTGAAATTGGAAATCAGTGGCAAAAGAAACCACAAGAACTTCATAAATGTGGGCATTAAATAGCATCCTCCTGAACAACCAGTGGGTCACAGATGAAATTAAGGAAGACATTAGACAGTTTCTACAATTAAATGATAATGACAATACAACATACTGGAACTTATGGGACACAGTAAAGGTAGTCCTAAGAGAGAAATTTATAGCAGTGAATACCGATATCAGGAAAAGAGCAAGCACAAATAAACAACTTAATGTTGAACCTAAAACTTCTACAAAAAGAAGAGCAGGCCAAGCCCAAAGCTCATATGAGGGAGGAAATTACAAAGATTAGAGCAGAAATGAATGCATTGGAGAATAATAAGACAATACAAAGAATCAATGAATTGAAGACTTGGTTCTTTGAAAGGTTAAATAAAATCAACAGTCCTTATCCAACCTTATCAAAAAAGGAAAGAAAAGACTCAAATGCATGCAATTAAGAATGAAAAGGGTAAAATCACAATGGCTCCTGCAGCAATCACAATGAAACCAACTGAGAAATCCAGAAGACCATCTATACCTACTTTGAAAACTTGTGTTCTAATAAAATGGAAAATGCAGAAGAAATGGACAGATTCCTAGATACATATGAATTACCAAAGCTGAATCAAGACGATATAAAAATCCTAAATCAATATCAATCAGTGAAATCAGAGATGTAATTGAAAACTTACCAACAAAGAAAATCCCAGGCCCTTATAGATTCAATGCTGAATTCTGCAAGAAACTTAAAGAACATTTAACCGCAATACCCATCAGACTCAACTAAGAAAGAGAATTACAGGTTAGTCCCCCTAATGAACATAAATGTAAAATCCTCAGTAAGATGCTAGCAAGCAGAATGCAGCAAATCATCAGGAAGATTATACACTATAACCATCCTGGATTCATCCCAGGGATGCAGGGATGGTTCAACATATATAAATCAATAAATGTAATATGTCATATTAACAGAGTCAAGGACAGAAAAATATGATCAACTCCCTAGATGCAGAAAAAGCTTTTAACAAAGTCCAGCACCCATTTATGATTAAAAAAAACCCTACAGAAAATTGGAATAGATGGTCTTCATCTCAATCTGATAAAAACCATCTATGACAAACCACAACCAACATCACACTAAATGGACAAAAACTGAAAAGCTTTCTCTCTAAAATCAGGAACAAGGCAAGGATGTCCACTGTTTCCATTCTTATTCAGCACAGTTCTGGAAACTTTAGGGAGAGCAATTACACAAGAGAAAGAAATAAAAAGGATAATGGTAGGAAAGGAAGAAGTTAAATTACCACTATTTGCAGATGACATAATGCTCTACATAGAAGACCCTAAAAGGTCTACTATAGATCTGCTAGATTTAATGAACAAATTCAGTAGCATAGCGAGTACAAGGTCAGCACTCAAAAATCAATAGCCTTCCTGTACACAAATAACAAACTTACTGAGAAAGAACACCTTTCCCAGTAGCGTCCAAAAAACTGAAATACCTAGGTACCAATCTAATGAAGATTGTAAAAGACCTCTACGTTGAAAACTACAGTACTCTGACAAAGGAGATTGAAGAGGGTTTCAGAAGATGGAGAGATAGCCCTTGCTCTTGGATGGGAAGAACCAGTATAGTGAAAGTAGCCATGCTTCCAAAACTGTTATACAGATTTAACGCAATTCTGATAAAAATTCCAATAGCATATCTTAGAATTCGTGTGGAACCAGGAGAGACCTAGAATAGCAAAGGCAATTCTGGGCAACAAAGCCAAGGCAGGGGGCATCACAATCCCTGATTTGAAATTATACTATAAAGCTACTGTAATAAAAAAAAATCCTAAATGGCAAAAAAAAAACATCCAAAGATCAGTGGGACAGATTAGAAGATACAGAAACAATTCTAGACATACTAAGTTTTCAATTACATCTTTCAGTTACATACTAAGCCACCTTATCTTTGACAAAGATGCCAAACACATTCACTGGAAGAAAGTTAATCTATTTAAATGGTGCTGGAAAAAGTGGCTCTGCACATGCTGAAGATTAAAATTGGATCCATCTCTTTTGCCATGCATTAAACTAAATTCGAAATGGATCAAAGATCAAAATATTAAAGCAAAAATGTGCTGGACAATAGAATAGGTAAAGCTCTTGAAGACAGTGGTGTAGGCAAAGACTTTATGAATAAAACCCCGATCGCACAGGAACTATCACAGAGAATCAACAACTGTGATCTCATCTTATTAAAAAGCTTTTGCACAGTAAGAGGAACCACCAACAGAGTGAATCGACAGCCCACAGTGTGGGAAAAACATGTTTGCCAGCTGTTGCTCCGACAGAGGATTACTATTGAGAACATATAAAGAACTCAAACATATCAGACCTCCCAAACTTAAAGACCCCATCCAAAAATGGGCGTCTGAGATGAACATACACTTCTCAGGTGAAGAAATACAAACAACAAATAAATATATAAAAAATGTTTAACATCACTGGTCATTTGAGAGATGCAAATTAAAACAACATTGATATTCCATCTCACGCCAGAAAGCATGGCTGTTATTCAAGAATTCAACCAATAACAAATGCTGGAAGGGCTGTGGGGAAAAGGAACCCTTCTCCACTGTTGGTGGGAGTGTAGACTGGTGCAACTCTCTGGAAATCAGTATGGAGATTCCTCAGAAAACTATGATTGGGAATAGGATGATTTTAATGATGTTTCATTAAACCTTTCACATCTCTAATAACGTTTCAATGTGCGATAAGTATAAAAGAATTGCAAATGGAATTTTACATGCTTTTTCATCCATGTTTTCAAAATCTGATGTGTACTTTACCCTTACAGCACATCTCAGTTGTCCTAGCAGCTTTTCAAGTGCTCTGTAGCCTCATGGCCAGTGCCTTGTATGTCTTGGCCAGAGTAGCTCTAGATTCAGACTGCTGGGCTGCAGGGTCTGAATAGCCACTCACCTGGTTGTGGTTATTTTGCAAGGAGAAGAGCAGCTGACTCTGTGCCCTAAGTGGAAAACCCCTCACAGGAGAGTTGGACCTGGGCAGCTCACGGTAGCTAAGGTGCTCACTGTAGCTAATGACTTTCGTATTTCTGGTCCTGTTACTTTTCTAGTTTAATAGCCACGTGTTCATTTCTTGGCTGGATATAGCTCCTTGACATACGTTGCAGTCTAAAGTGTTCACTATGTGCTTTTTGGTATCAGAAGCTTTCCAACCCTTGTCTTGAAGGGGAGGTGTTAGAATTACTTGTTCTAAGGCAGTGGTGGCGAACCTATGGCACACCCATCACAGTGGGCACACAGAGCCCTCTCCGTCGGCACACAAGCCAGCTCACCTCAGCAGTCAGATAGCGTTTGTTTTTTTTCTAAACTAAAACCTCAGAATTCAGGTTTAATTGCAGTGTTGGCACTTCGCAATAAATAAATGGGCTTGGGGCTGCAGCTTGGGCGCGCAGTCTCTAAGAGGTTCGCTGTCACTGTTCTAAGGTGTGGATATGGGCCAGTCAGGATCAGTGTCAAGCAGAATCACGTTGCCAAGTTCAGGGATACCGGAAGTCCCTCCCCAGTCGTGTGGTGTGGGGTCTAGTGCTGGGGTGCAGTGGGGCAGAAGGGCAGGGGCACTAGCTAACGGTCAACCTTCCCTCTACTGCTGTGCTATGTTGCTTCCTTCCTTTCGGTTCGTTCTTTGATTAAACAGGGTGGAAATGTCTGTTATGTGCCAGCTGTTGTGGGTGTTGGTGAGTCACAATGAGTAAAGGTGCTTCTTACCATCCAGCGGCTGAGAAGTGTGTGTGGAATGATGTGGACAGCGTGGGAGATCTGTAGAGAACCAGAGAGAAAAGCTGGATGACAGCGGTACATGTCATCCCATCAGTAAGGGCAGTGCTTCATCTATAAGAGTTTCTCCTTTGTGGGACAGAGTCTTTTTGTCCATGTCTTATGCTCTGAGTAACTACTTTTCAGATTATGATGTGCAGTGTATTAACTATTGTTATTCTCTTACTATTTTGTTAGGAAATTTTGTTTTTATTATTTCATAAAATAAAAAATAGACCTTTTGACATCTTACATTAAACATGTACATGATATATTTTTACTGTAGGTTTTGCTTATAAAAAGGGTCAGTGTTTGTAACAATTGTTTCCTTTTCAGAATATAAATAAATTTGTGTATTTTAGGTTGCCTGCCTGATTCGGGTTCCTTCCGAAGTGGTTAAGCAGAGGGCTCAGGTATCTGCTTCTTCAAGAACATTTCAGATTTTCTCTAACATCTTATATGAAGAGGTAAGATGTAGCTTTAGACTTTTTTTGTGTGTTGAAGAAGATTTTATAGTAATTAATGCTGTGGGGCTTGTTCCAGGAGCGTTAGAGGAAAGTTAGAGTTGAACTTAATGTCCAGTTATAGTAACTCTTCTCGAGTTTATTTTTGCCTATTCTTTGTTCTGAATTTTTATTTTCATTTTTAATTCTTTTTTCAGATTTCTAAACAGACACATCTTTAGTGTTCCTTCTGTATGTTTCCTGAGTTGTAATCTTCCTGTAGTTATTTTGGAATCCAACATGGGACAAATTATAAATATGTAAAATGAATTAAAATATTTTATTAAGATATTACTACAATATTTGAATGCCCATAGTAGAGAAATATAATAATGATGCACAACAAAATATTTACATTAACGTGTGATTCCTCTTTTCCTGGTCAGTGTTAGTTGTGGCTCAGAAATTATTCTTTGTATCTTCCTAGCCTTGTGACTAGGAAGCATTTAGTTATTTTCCTTTATATGGTTTTTCTGTTTTGTTTTGTTTTCGGTGGTACTGGGGGGATAAACTCAAGGGTGCTCTAACACTTAGCTAAATCCCCATCCCTTTTTTATTTTATTTTTTTTTTTTTGAGACAGGGCTCACTAAATTGCCTAGGTAAGACTCAAACTTCCAATGCTCCGTCAGCCCCGCTAAGTGCTGGGACTTCACAGGTGTGTGCCGTCATGCCTGGCTCCTTTTCAGTACTTACAGAGGATGTTCTTTAAAATTTTTCTCTGCTTGTGGTGCACTGGGGATTGAACTCAAGGATGTTCCACCGCTGAACAACCTACTTGACCCTTTTTGTATTTTATTTGAGATAGGGTCTTGATAATTTGCCCAAGCTGGCCTGGAACTTCAATCGTCCTGCTACAGCCTCCTGAGTAATTGGGAATATAGGCAGGTGGCACTGTGCCCAGAATTTGGGGAGGGCGCAGAGGGGCTGGGAGGGGCAGGGCGGGGGATTGAACCCGTAGGGCTCTTGCCCTACGCAAAACATATCCAGCCATTCATTTATTTGATTTTACTTTAAAATTGTAAGACAGGTTCTTGCAGTGTTGCTTACGTAGGGTCCACACCTGTGATCCTCCTGCCTCAGAAGCACTAAAATTATAGGTGTGCCTTGCCACACTAAGCTTTTGTTTTGTTTTGTTTTGTTTTGTTTGAGATAGGGTCTTACTGTGTTGCCCAGGCTGGCCTTGAACTCCTGGCTTAAGAGTTCCTTTTGCTTCAGCTTGCTGAGTAGCTGGGACTAAGGGCACATGCCACTGCATCTGATGGTTTTTTGTTTTTGCTGTTGTTGTTTTGTTTTTAGTGGAAATCAGTCTTACTGAATGTAGGTTTTAGAAAAGCTATTCTTAGTGGTCTGTCCCCTAGGTGTGTCACTTCTCATTCAGTGAGGAGACACTGGGGTGAGACTAATTCTACTGGGTCTCCATTGGACCGTGTGGATGGTTAAGTAGATAAATCAAGGTTTGTCTGGAAATACACACCACTACTTTGGTGAGAGATTATTAATGAGCTTCTGGTATAAAAGCTGTAAAATATAATTCTCTTTTATATGAAAGGATAGTTGGTATTTGTGTACATTTGCTTTTGGAAATATATTTTAAGCACTGCAAGTTTTTTTTTAAGAAAAACGTTGAATAACAGCAAGTAAAAGTAAAAGTAAATGTGGAGCCAGTTTTATTTTTGGAGATGTATCCATTTGAAAGACGCTGACCTGCGCTTAGTGTGCCTTAAGCCAGTAGAGAACCTTTAACCTCTTTGTAGAACTGTGGTGTGGCTGAATGTTTGCCAACTCCAATTTTAGAGCAGGTAAATGTCCTTGTTCAGAACATCATTTAGAAATCCTCCTTGCTATTCTAACTTCTGAATTCTTGACTTTTTGTTTGTTTCAGGGCATCCAAGGATTATATCGAGGCTATACAAGCACAGTCTTAAGAGAGGTAACTCACTTAAGTTCCACTATTGAACAAAGAATGATACGCTTTGTTCATTAAATTTACATTTTGTAACATTTAGAAATATATTAGGGGAAGCTGGTTTAAAAATCAAAAAGGGAAACCATCTTCTAAACACTGGAGGTGTGGCCAGCTTTTGGCCTGTGTATTGCACATGCCTGTGTTACAATAAAAAATGTTTTAGATAGGAAGTTTTGTTGGCAGCATAAAGTAACTATAATAAATACTTTATATGTGTCCCAAGACGTTTCTCTTCACTCAGTGAGGCCCAGGTGAGCAAGGTTCCACACGCATGGTAGTCGTGCTCTGAAAGAATCATAGAATGAATGGTTTGCTGGAAGAGCTCTTTTGGTGGTCGGAATGGGTATATGTCGTGTGGTTTTATTGTTATTCTAGAGTGGCTAAATGTCTCTTATAGCCAGAATACTACAAAAGCACTGCTAAGAGTGCGATAGCAAATCAGTTATGTAATATGGAGAATTAATGAAAAATTGGCAATGAAATAAGTGCTTTGAGACAATTGCTTCCCAAGCCTGTATCATGGAGTTATGGCTTGGCTCCCTGATAAGGGAATAAAAGGAGCGGAGAAGTCTGCTGGAGACTGGCCCTGCAGCAGGTCAGTCGGAGAGCAGGGTATCTAGGGACTCAGTGCCTTCTAATGCTGCAGCCCTATGGTTACGTGGGACCTTTTCTTTCTTCCTGTCTTTCTGTCTCTGTCTTTCTGTCTCTCGGTCTGTCTGTCTCTCTCTTTCTTTCTTTTCTGAATGAAAAAGCAAAACTTTACCAGCAACAGGTGATTTTAGTAGACTATTTCTTTTTCTTTTCTTTTTTTTTTTTTTTTTGTCTTTTTGAGACAGGGTCTCACTGTGCAGTTCAGGCTGGCCTTGAGCTCACTTTGTACCCAGGCTGGTCTCGAACTCACAGTGATCCTCCTGCCTCAGCCTCCCGAGTGCTGAGATTACAGGAGTGCACTACCACGCCTGGCAGCGATTTTTTTAGATTATTACAGGTAGCGTGTTTTAATCTTTGTCTCTGATAGGAGAGATTGTTTTGAACTTTAACAGTTGAATTTTAGATAGTGAGATACAAGAGAAACCTTTGGCATGGGACATAATTTTCTATTTAAACACAAGTGAGGACTTGTGTATAACTCTACTGCATCTATATTTTCTATTTGAAGTTCCTTGGATAATAAAGTATTTTTATTTATAAAAGTGTTTTAAATGTAATTAAAGAATATCCCAACTGGAAAAATATCAAAGTTCATTGAAATCTCTCATTTTATTCTCAGTTGTTTTGTTTTCAGCTGTGGACTTCAGTCTGCTTTATGACACACCACCATTGTTACATGTGACTTAAAGGTTTGATTTCCACAAGGTAGCAGCGTCCAGGGTAGCCATCTAGTTGGTGTACACCTTGAAGGACTTTTGGTGGCAGAACTGAATTTTCATAATTAATCATTTTTGTAAAGATGACCTGTGTCTTTCAGAAATATCACCCATACTGTGTCTTTGTTCTGTTCTTATTTTCTAACTTTCTAAATCTGTTATATACTCATAATTTCACATGGGTGTTGGAAAAGATAGGGGGACTAATAATAAACTTTTCAAAAACGTTCTTGAAAGGTGCTGAATACATTTATATTCCACAGAGTACTAATTTTGCATACAAAAAGAGAAAACACATGGTTACAACTACAGTCTATTCGTTTAAAAATTTATTTTGACATATGTCATCCTAGTAATTAATTCTTAGGCTGCCATCCTTGCAAATAGTGTGACCTTACTGAGATGACTTTGTTTACTCAAAATAGCAGAGGTTTGTTGGAAATGTAATTAGGGTCTTCTGCATTGTGCGTATTCATAAAAGATCTTTCAGAACTGATTTTAGTTGATGTATTGCTTTTGTGCAGGATTCTCAGATAGAATGAGAGAAGCATTATTGCTGAATGAAACATAGCTTCTTTTCCAAGTGAGAAAAATAACAAACGATGCATCTGTCTTAAACAACATTCTTGCATTATAAATAGGTTAGATTCTTACATTATTCTGACACCAATATCAAATCTCTTGCCAAGAACTCATTTGATTGTTTCAATAAGAAAATACATGGGGAAGCTTTAGTGAGAATCACTGGGAAACTCAAACATTTATTCTACATGCTATTTTTTTTCTTTAAAATATTTTTATCTCTATAGCAGTAGCCCATTAGAATGAGATTGAAGTTTGAATTCATGCATTATAAGACAGATTATGTGTGTTCTTCAGAGGTTTTTGAATCCTGTCGTACTTTTTTTTAATCCACCTTTGATGTTTGTGGAGATTGCTTGTGTGTCCCTTATGTTCTCTTAAACTGTTTTAGTTCCTGTGAATTTTCTACTGAGTCTAAGCAAGGTCAACAGATTCTACTATTTACCTCACCCTTTCAGTTCTCATTTTTCTCATGATCTTGGCCAAATTAGATGTGGCCAAGTGTCTTGGTGCAGTGGTGTTACTGCAATGAAAGCAGGGAGCAAGGAGGCTGGGGATTTAGCTCAGCGGCAAAAAGCGCCTGCCTGGCATGCGCAAGGCCATGAGTTCGGTTCCCGGTACCGGAGAAAAACCAGAAAAAAAAAAAAAAAAAGAAAGAAAGCAGGGAGCAAAATCATAGCTGCTGTCATAGCCAAGATGATTTCAGGTAGAACACTGGCCAAAAAACTTTGCGGAGAGCAGCCTCATAATGTTGGATGTAAATTAAAAAAAACTTATATAGAGAAAGATAGCAAAGAAAGGCAGTTTGTTTCAAAAGAAATAGGAATAAGTTAAGCTCCGTAAATGTCCACAAATTCTACTCTCCAACATTTGTGGAGTGTTGTGTGTTGGGTGTTACTTAGAACTTTTCTGCCCCAAACGATTCACATTCTCTGGGAAAACAAATAAGGAAGTATGGTCTTCAGGGTGCAGTGTAGTGAAGGCTGTACTTACAAGCACATTCAGGGTGTACCTGGGCTTATAAAGGAAACACTGCTTGAATGGTACTCAGCTAGTGTTGTTGCATAATAAAAGTGAGTCTCAGTTTTAGATCTATCTCAAGCCTGCGGAGGATGCTTCAACAGAGTACTCCCAAACTGGGGTATTGGTCAGGAGGAGAAGTTGAACCTCCCACCTCTGCTGGGTGTTTGCCAGAGGATGGGAAAAAGCACAAGGGAAAAGCCCCGGAAAGGGCCTGACTTGTATCCATGGAGATAGGAGGATAAATTATTGGTATATGGCCCCTGGCTGCACACATCTGAAGGAGAGAAGCTAGTTGGGGCTGTCTCAGTGGTAGGATGTTGCCATTTTAGTAATGCATGGCTCCTGGCTTCCTTTTGGTAGAAGAGAATAGCCATGGAAGAGTTTAGAGGTAGGTGAGGTTTATTCCTTCCAACCCCAACTTTGCTTTTTTTTTTTTTTTTTTTTTTTATCTTTTTAAGACAGGGTCTCACTGTGCAGTTCAGGCTGGCCTTGAGCTCACTGTAGCCCAGGCTGGTTCGAACTCGCAACAATCCTCCTGCCTCAGCCTCCCAAGTGCTGGGATTACAGGCATGTTCCACCACGCCCGGCTCGACCCCAACTTTGCTATAAGCAGTCAAGCAGGCCAAACAAATCATTCAGCCTGTTCCATATGTTTATTGTAACCCCCAGTGCTTAGGTGCAGAAATCACTGCTCATTGAAAAGTTCACTGAAGTAGATAGAACAGCTTTCCAGACATGGGTGCCCTTGCCATCCCTTGGCAGTGAGAACCCCCCCAATCTGTTGGCCGAGCACAGGTCCCTTTCAAGATCCGCCTCTTGATTGTCCTTGAAATCTTTTGTCTGCTCACTTGGCGCCACCCCGACCCCCAGGTCTTCACGTTACGGTCGACTCTGGTGTGTCTTTCCAGAAGCTTTCTGTCTAGGGATTGTGTATTTTGTTGTTTGTTAACCTAATATTTCTTTGGAGATTATTTTAAGCCACTTTATAAAGAGCACTGGTTTTGCATAGTACTTCATTGTATAAGGAGCCATTATTTGCTCAGCCACTGCCCTGTTGGTGGACATTGCTTAATAGTGTTCCAGCGTCGTTTCGTTTGTGCCTGGAGCGTGTGTGGGTTTCACACTAAGAGGTGCAGTCACTTGGTTAGAGGTGTGGGCATTGTAAGTTTGATAGGTAACCCCAAATGGCCCTTAGTGGCAGGAAGCTGAGCTTGCCGGCAGCGCAGTGCTCTGTTTTCCCTGCCACTCCACTGGGAGATGAAAAACGGTATCACTAGTTCTAACTTTAAGTAAGTTGGGCATGTTAACATGCATCTAAAAACTGTGTTGTGTCCTTACTGCTAGTGACTGAGTCTTCACCACATCCTTGTGAGAATTACATGAGAAGATCCAGGTGCAGAACTTTCTGTAGTGACTGTCACACCGTACCGTACACGCTCAGGAAATGGGAGCTGTGATTACCCATATTCTTGGTAACCGAAAGAGCCTTTGACAGTGAAGGACACCACAATGTGATATACAGTTCTGCCCCTTACCAGCTGTCTGCTTTTGGCAAGTTACTTAACATTTCTGAATCTGTTTTCCTGTTTGTGCTAAGAACTTTGCGTAGACTGTGTGCACCGAAATCTCATAGCAGTCCTCTGAGGCAGTAGTACCATCTACTAGGTACTATTCTATTACAGCAGTACCATCTACTAGGAAATTCAGAAATTAAAGCAGTTTCTAAGCTGCTAGGTTCTTGAATAGGGATGTAACTTTCTACATTTGAATGTGTGAACAATTTAATGATGAATAATAATTGTTGTGTTTGAACCAAGAGGTGAAATATTGCTTGTAAATTTTTTCAGTTGCAATTCCAGAGTGTTTTATCCAAATGTCTCATACAAAAGAATTTGTATAACTGTAGTGAATTATAATCTGTACCTGACTTTATATTGACTGGCTACTTCTTTAGGAAAAACAGTATCTTAGTATAAAAATACAGTTTTCCTA